GTATATACTGTATTCTATATATAGTACCAGTCAAATGTTTGGACACACGAATGGGAAAGTGTCCAAACTTTTGACTGGTACTGTACTATAATATACACAAAGAATATCGGCCGATATATCGGTATCTGCCTTTTTTTTAATTCCCTAATATCGGTATCTGTATCGGCCCCAAAAAACCCATATCGGTCGGGCTCTAATCATGATCATAGATATGATTTTGACTTATAGTAATGACTTTCTATTTCATAATTAACTTAGTCAATACTTCTGTATATAATACTTATATTTATATGTGCATATACACACACACACACACACACACACACACACAATTCATTGATTTTAATAGGAATTATGTTTTACAAGGATGTAGTGAAACACAGCGAGGGTATGTGAAAGCGACGCACCATTGTGCAACAGAATTTTTTCTGCATAGCTTAAGTTAAAAATGACCCGGCTATTTCGGCCCTTAAAACGGATCTAACACATTCTCCATCAAACACCCCAAGCTTTTCTTTTGTGTCTTTATTCATCCAAGATATCCTGAAGAGATTGTTTTTTAACTCCATAGGAGTGAAAGGAGCAGCCCTGCTCTTGACCGCGCCATCTTCCCGAACGTCGAAGACGATGACCTGGATCCCAACTATGCTCGCATCAACAATTTCAGAGAACCTCCCGCCTCCAGCCACTCCCCCTATCCACCTGGAACTCCCACCCATAACTACAGTCAGCCTACTCTCCCCACCCCCAACAGAGAACCACCCAATGAGGACGCGCTAGAGGGGCTTTATGCAAAAGTGAACAAGCAAAGAACCGCTCCTCCAAAGACTGACAGGTGAGAACCAATCCATTCATTTTTTTAATGGCTAACTTTTTAATAGCTTTAATAGCATAAAAGTATTGTGCAATATTTTTTTTTGTGACCAGTACCGATTAAAGGGTTAGTTCACCCAAAAAAGAAAATTAGCCCATGAATTATTCATCCTCAAGGCCTCTTAGGTGCGCAACGCCAACTTCTTACGTCATCCTCCTGGAGCTGCTTCCGTGTACAACTGTTGGCGCAAGCTAGATTAAAGTGATTATTACGTTTTGAATATGGATATTTTTCTTACAAAAACGCACCGATTTGCTACAGGAGGCCTTTGTTCACCCCCCGGATCCGTGTGAGGCACTTTTTATTATGGATAGATGCGCTTTATTTCATTTCTTTTGGACTGATGAACTGCAACACCCGCTGACTGCCATTAAACAGCTTGGAAGATCAAAGTCAATTTTTAATATAACTCCGATTGGATTCATCTGAAAGAAGTAAGTCATATACGCCTATGATGGCTTATTCATCTAATAAGCAATTATGGGCTAATTTTCATTTTTGGGTGAACTATCCCTTTAAGTATGCAGTAACCAATAGCAGAACCATTTATTTATTTTGATTTCCGCTTTTTGACACGATAATAATTAAATTACATAATAGTAAGACAGTTGTTATACTACAACAGTAAAACACATGTAATAATATAATAATAATAATAATAATTGAAATATATTATTAGATATGATTATTATTAAATTATTATACAAATATTTGTAAAGCATATTATGTACAATAATTTGTTTAATATTTTAGTGTATTGTTGTTATTAAATATTCAGAATATATATGTGTTTTACTGTTGGTGTGTAATACTACTGTACAAGATTTTTTTTTTTTTTATTATTATCATCGTTATTAGTCAAACCTGTTGGTTCTGCTTTTTTTTTGACACAATAATAATTGCAGTTATTAGACTACAAAAGTAAAACACTAAAACATTAAACACATTAAAACATAATAATAATGCTGAATATATTTACTTATGAATATACTCATAAGTGTGTGTGTGTGTGTGTGTGTGTGTATATATATATATTTATTTATTAATGTACTATTATTATCAATAATATTTTATATTATTTATATTCATAATACATATGATGTGTTTTACTGTTGTAGGTCAATACTACTGTTGTTCAAAATTATTATCATTATTATTGAAACCGATTATGTCTATTTTCTGCTTTTCACAAACTCCTCAGTATAGTCACTCTGTAAAAGTAAATCAATGAAAGTTATATTACTTGTTGAACCTGTTATCAAAAGCAGAAAACATTTTGCTTTGGCGATGTACATGCAACATACCAAAACTCCAGGCACGTCGAACGTAACGAACGCTTTGGCCTTTCAGTCGAATCAAGCTGAAATATTGACAGACAGGTTTGTGAAGTCATTTGTGATTTACTGTGTAGCTCTACAGTCTGTATATACAGAGGGAATGTATGTCTCACTGGTGAGTTTTTAGTCCGGGTTGAGTGGTCTCAACGACTGAGAGCATTGATTTGTTGTCTGGCGGTAATTATGCGTGAGTGTTGCAGTGTCCGTGGGGACCGTGTTCATTCTTGCTCTTGTCCCACCATCGATTCGCACAAGATTATCTTCCGTGTGCTGTGCTGTCCACCGAGCTCAGTAGAGCTGTAATCCTATCACACACACACAAACACACAGACTCGCTCTGAGAAATACACTTGGAAATACATTCGGATACCTTCTCAGGACTATGCACCACGTTTCCTGTTCATTCCGTACAAAAATACACCATGGGAACCATAGTTTCATGACAAAATACTATAGTTACCACAGTAATACTACTGTAACAGTGTTGAAGAGTTTCTGAAATCTTTTGTCTAATTTCTTTTTTTGATGACACTGGTGACTAAAACCAACCTGATCACAGATTATTTATGGTAAGAACTGTTGTAACGTTGGTATTTTGGCAGAAACCAAGGCCACATTCACACAGCAGCCGAATACAGTTGTCAGTCCTGCATTTGAGTCCATAATATCGTTACGTTCACACACAGTACGGTTATTTATGGGAGTGACAACCACGTTCTGTAACTGAACTCACTCCCTTTCAGACTTTCAGATCCGCCCTGTGTGAACGGAACCGGACTGGACAGCTAGTTTTCTCATAGTGCCAGAGAGCCGCTCTGCTGCACAAATGCGTGTCTGTCTTGTGTTTTGGGTTTTCATGTGTGGTTTCGGTAACTTACAGCGACACGGGTAGGAGCTGTGTGTCGTCTGAAGGTTTTAGATCCAGTCAATGCTGCTCCCGTCAGTTTTATGTTCTACGTGTGACTCGAATGCTCTGCTCTCCACCCAGATATAAAAGCTGCTGTCAGTTAAAGAAGATTTGACGGATGAACTTGCAGCTCGATTGGACTCTTGTCGTGTCAAAAAGTGAAAAGAAGCTTCAGTTTTATGGACATCGCCATCTTTGATATTACGTTCGTCACTGTCGCTATGGTTACTGGTATGGAACACTGGCGTGCCTCCTGCTGCACATTCATACATAAATGTGGTTGTTAATCCCCAAAACTGACAGTGTGAACATAGCCTATGATTACTCCTATACGTCTAGAATAGAAACATACTTATTTATACTGGTTTTGTGTAAACTGTCCCATTTTTGTTTGATAAACAATTATGGTAGTATGCTAGGACACCATAGAATAAAATCAGTGAATGTCTGACATGAAGGACTCACTCAGGTACACTAATGTGACAGTATGTTACTGTAGGTTACACTGCGTGCTGTCAAAGAAGAAAGTGTGAGAAATGTCTCGTCTGAAGCGGAGCTATGAATCGCTGTGAGTGTGTGTGTGTGTGCACGAGCCTCGATTTTCACATCAGAGAGCAAATAAGAGAGAAAGATAGCAGGAGAGAGACGGTCAATTAAGCACAAAGTAACAGCCAGACAGATATGCGAAGGCCCCCTCCTCATCTCACTGTCTCGCTTTCTCCAAGTGCTGATGTCTCATCTACTTTAGCATGGTACTTAATTACCATTCTCTCTCTGGCGTGTGTCGCCTGACTGCTCCTAACAGCCCTTTGTTCTTGCTGGCATTTGGTGTATAATATATGTGACTAATAAATGTTAGTGTTGATCACACGTGGAAAATAGAGCCTCGCTTTTCTTGTTTAGGAGAGTTTGAGCACCGCACGGTCATTTTTCGGCAGAAATGCTGACACAGAGTCAGTGGCAGCCAACAAAGCTGGACCCGGCTCCAGATATTTGGACAGCATCCAGCACTGAGGAGTGGGCTTAATCGAACTAATGGCCCACCGGCCGTGTACTGTGGCCAACTCTAATTCTTTGAAGAAACTGCTGTTTCTTAACGCCTTTCCTCCACTTCTGCATTGTTCTCCATCACGTTGGAGCAGTAAACACTAAGATGGTTCCCGTAAATGTAGTGCTTAGAAAGTAAGGTGCAACTCTCACAAAAAGGGTTAGTGTACTGTCCAACTTCAGTAGTTCTTCTACAGACATTTTCCATTACACCATAGTTGAAGATCATTCCTACATAATTGTTACTACAGGGAAATTATAATGATTACAGGAATTACAGGCATTATTTTATTTTATTATTTTATTTTTAAATTGTATTTAATTTAATTTTATTTGCCAAGTGCTATGACTATTACTTTGGTTGCTGATTAAAATGTACTTATAAATAAATAAATATCTAAATATGTATTGTCCCTGTTATTATTATAAAAAAAAGTATTTTAATAAAACAAAATCATAGGTACCTAATGAAAATGTAATACAGTTTACAATTTTATTTCACTTGTACTATTTATTTTATTTTGATTTTACAATGATATGACATGATATATTTACA